GCTAGCTAGCTAGCTAGCTGTATTTATGTTGCGTTGTGTATTGGGGGGTTTGTATTGCCACCCCTGCAGTGTACAGTTGGCCCCTTAGGTGGCCTCTAGCTCTTTGGTGCCTCTAGCTAGCTAGCTAGCTAGCTAGCTAGCTAGCTAGCTAGCTAGCTAGCCAGTTAGAGGCACCAAATAAACAAGCAAGCTAGCTAGCTAGCTAGCTAGTCGGTTAGCTAGCTAGCTGTGCGGTAAGGAGCTAGGAGGAAGGCCCCGCTATTGGATATATGGAGATGTGGTGTATACGTATAGCTAAACCCTAATTTAGGGTTTATTCGCTATTTATATTATAAAAAAGTGTTTGGCTGCAGCTTAAGGTAGATTTGAAGGGTAAACCCTAATTACAGCAGCCTTTTATATTCTATTATTTATCATTAACTATTTTCTGCTGAGGGTTTAGGGTTTAGGGTTTGTTGTTTTGTTTTCTGGTGGTTTAGGGTTTAGGGTTTAGGGTTTAGATTTTAGGGTTTAGGGTTTAGAGGTTACTAGGATTGATCCACTGATGCTTCGGTAGAGGAAGACTGACGTATTTATTAGCTGTAGTTGCCCTAGGGTTTAGGGATTAGGGTTTAGGGTTTAGGGTTTAGGGTTTTGAATGGCAGTTGCTTGTTAGCGCGCGTAGCCAAAATAAGGTGTTTATGTTTGTCTAAACCCTTGTTGATAAACCCTAATAAAGGGTTTATATAAATAATAGTTAATATAAATAATAATAATAATTAATTATTATTATTATTATTATTATTTTCTTGAGGGTTTTGTTGTATATTTCTTGTTTTTGCCTGTCTATATCTTTGCAACATATCTTTTAGGGTTTTTGTTGTCGCCATCTGCACGGGGGTTTTCCTCTCAAAGTCTTCTGCATCTATATCTACATATAAACCCTCAGCCTCACGACTAAATAATAATGCTTTCGCCTGCAGCGTATCAGAAACCCTAATTTAGGGTTTAGGGTTTAGGGTTTCGAGAGGGGGAGAAATGGATACGGCTATGACACACCGTCATAACGAGCTATTCAATGCTGCACAATTCTCTTGTTGTTATCTTCAAGGGTTTAGGGTTTAGCTACTAGGGTTTAGGGTTTAGAGTCTAGGTACTAGAGTTTAGGGTCTAGGGTTTAGGGTTTAGGGTTTACTGCAGCAACGGCGTTCTCGCGAACGGCGAGGTGTAGGGGCGTCAGCCTGCACACCCATTCACGTGGTAAACCCTAAACCCTAGCGAAACCCTAAACCCTAAACCAAGGAGCTTCCTTAATCCCTCATGGCGTTTCTTCCTAGCAGACTATTACATGCAAAAATCACTCGACAGGCACTACAAACCCTTTTTTAGGGTTTAGGGTTTAGGGTTTAGGGTTTACCCAGCACAGGTCCTCGCATTAACATCAGCATTATGTTTTAATAAGAAGATAACACTCCCTCTTTGATTACCCGCGCATGCAAAATGCAGCGGCGTTCTCCCTAATTTTGTAGGGTCGTCTACCCCTAACCCTGCAGCAGCAGCAGCAGCAGCAGCAGCAGCAGCAGCAACAGCAACAACAGCAGCAGCAACGACAGCAACAGCAACAAGCAACAGCAATAGCAGAAAGCAGCAACAAGCAACAGCAACAGGAGCAGCAGCAGCAGCAGCAAGCAACGGCGACAAGCAGCAGCAGCAGCAATAGCCGCAGCAACAGAAGCAATAACAAGGGTTACAGAGTATCCATTGCAGCAACAGCAGCAGCAACAGCAGCAGCCACTGCAGCAGCTGCAGTAGCAGCAACGGAGCAACAGCAACCGCATCTGCAGCAGCAACTGCAGCAGCAGCAGCAGCAGCAGCAGCAGCAAATGCAGCAGAATATGCATTGTGAGCTGTTAGCCTCATACTGACAACCTACCATCTAAGGGTTCCCTGCGTTTTAGGGTTTAGGGTTTAGGGTTTAGGGTTTAGATTCCTACCCGCTTGGAGCCCCAACTCGAGCAAATCGATTTCGCCGCTCATTGCACCTAAAGTCGCAAACCCTAAACCCTAAACCCTAAACCCTAGATCCCCACCAGCCGATATTGCCATAGATATAAACAGTTAGAGAACCGCAGTAGGAAACCACAAAAGCGCTGTAGCTCTAGCGCGTTAGGGTTTAGGGTTTAGGGTTTAGGGTTTACCATGGTGCATAACGCTCAAACCACTCTGTGGGTCCTTTACACTGTAGTCTACATCGAAGGTCTGCAGGATTCTGCGAAGAATGAAAGCGAGGGTTTAGGGTTTAGGGTTTAGGGTTTGGGGTTTAGTTCGGGATGCAGCGAAACTCTTATCATAAAGCCTAAACACTAAACCCTAAACTCCAAACCCTAGAGCATTAGTCTTGGCCTCAAGCTTACGGTTTAGGGTTTAGGGTTTGCAGTGTTTACACACTGTAAACCCTTGTCTGTACACTGTATACAATAATTCCTAAACCCTAATCGCTCAACCCTAACTAAGGGCACAGGCAGGCAGAGGAAGAGTCCGCGGGTTTAGGGTTTACGATTTAGGGTTTAGGGTTTAGGGTTTAGGGTTTTGTTCTTGCCTGAGCTTGTTGATGTCTGGGTGTTCCTTCATAATCTCATTTAAAAGCTGCGCCGCAGATACTGTGAACCCTAAACCCTAAACCCTAAACCCTAAAATGTAAACCCTAAACCCTAAACCCTAAACCCTAAACTATTGATAACGGAGCAGGAGGCTTTTTAAAGAAGGAAATGGGTTAGGCTGTGGTCGTTGTTGCTGCTGCTGCATTTGCTGCTGCAGCTTGGCAGCAGTTGCTGCTGCTGCTGCCACTGCAACTTGTATTTAGTTACTGCTACTATTTTGCTGCTGCTGCTGCTGCTGCGATTGCAGCAGCAGCAGCAGAGGAGGGAACGTTTCAGTTGGTGCAGCAGTTTAGTCTTGTCAGCGGCAGCTATAGGGTTTACAGCCGGTGGCTATTCCAAACCCCAGTCGTAAACCCTAAACCCTAAACCCTAAACCCCAAATTTCTTACTTCAAGTTGCATGCGTTTCTTGCTACTGATTGTCGTTCCTTTTCGACTTTCTCCTGATGTTGCTCCTTCTGTCAAGTTTTCTGGTGCGTTTTCCTCTGTTGCCATTTTAGGGTTTAGGGTTTAGGGTTTAGGGTTTTGCGAGGCGAGCGCTTGTTCCGGGGGGCTCAACAAAAGAGCACAGAGAAGAAGTATATTTCTGGGGATCAAGAGTTCAGAGCTGAGGGTTTAGGGTTTGGGGTCTAGGGTTTTGGATTTCAGGGTTTAGGATTCAGTGTTTAGGGTTTAGGGTTTAGGGTTTAGGGTTTACGGTAACCGAAACCCGAGATGCTTGACCCCAACTTGAGGGGAAGGAGAAAAAGAAATAAGAAAAAAACAAAACAACAAATTACTATTTATTATTTCACTAAGCAGAAAACAGAAAAAGAAGAATTGCGCGCAGGTGACCCTCCACCGCCTCGAGGGTTTAGGGTTTAGGGTTTAGGGTTTAGCGCTTAGCGCTTCATGTTCAGCGTCAAGCCTCTTTAGCGCTGATTCACTAGATAATTTCCAATTAGGGTTTAGGGTTTAGGGTTTAGGGTTTAGGGTTTAGTCTTTTCTATGGTGGAGATAATAATGCTGCTAGCGATCACTCACGGCAGCCAGCCCCACAGCCCAGACAAACCCTAAACCCTAGACCTAAAACCCTAAACCCTAAACCCTAAACCCTAAATGCTAGGCATGAAAGCCTAAACCCTAAAACCTAAACGATAGACCCTAAACCCTAAACCCTAAACCCTCGACAACCTGTCGTGGTTTGAATGCCTCAAGCCCTTAGTCCTCAAGGTCAAACCCTTTGACTGCGCATGCGCAGACCCTAAACCCTAAACCCTAAACCCTCGCTAGGGGTATCCATTGTCTTCTCCTAGCCTCCCCTCCGCCTTTTAGGGTTTTTGCAAGAGGGAGAAAACAACAAAAAAGAAAATAAGAAATAAAAATAAAAAAATAAAAAGAAGTAAAAAAAAAAAGCAAAAAAAGAAAAAAAAAGAAAAAAAGGGAAAAAAAAAGAAACGTAGATATAGATATATAAATAAAAAAATATAAATAAATAAAGGTAAAGAGACAGAAAGAAAGAAAGAAAGAAAGGAGACACAAAAAGGAAGAAAAGGAGACAAAAAGAAAAAAGAAATAAAGGAGATAAAAAGAAAGAAAGAAAAAGAGACAAATAAAGGAGAAAAAAGAAGAAAAAAAAAATAAATAATTATTTATTTTTATTAATAAATAAAATAAATAAAAGACATAAATATAATTAATTAACTGTCTTTATGTCTTTGTATATTTTATTTTATATATAATTTATTTATTATTTATTTATTATTTATTTATTTATTATTTATTTATATATATATAATATATATTTTTTATATATAATAATATATACGTATATATAATATATTTAATATAATATATGTATTTATATAAACCCTAAACCCTAAACCCTAAACCCTGGTATAAAAAGAGAGAAAGAGAGGAAAAAAGAGACGCGAAGATGTTGTGTCTGCATGCATTATTTTAATTATTATTTATTTAATTATTTGTCTCCTTTTATTTATTTTTATTTAATTATCTCCTTTTATTTATTTTTATTTAATTGTCTCTTTTTTTTTCTGCTATTTGTATTTTTTATTGTTAATTAATGTATTTGCGGTGTATGTACAGCTAGCTGTCTACCTTCTTTTAATATAATAGACTCTGCAAACCCTAAACCCTAAACCCTAAACCCTTGAATGGCTTCTGTAGCAGCTGGGCTATTTTTGTTTTTTATTTGGGAGCTGCAGCAACCCCCTTCAAGGTGTACCTTCTAAACCCTAAACCCTAAACCCTAAACCCTAAACCCTTAGACACAGGAAACACACAGAGACGACCTAACCAATTGCATGCAAATATGTACACCATAAACCCTAGACATAAATTCAAAGGGTGTAAAACCAATAAAGAAGAACACCTAAACCCTAAACCCTAGACCCTACTTAGACCCTAAACCCTAAACCCTCCATATGGATTCTTCATGCGAGTCCTAAGAGGAGATGTGTGAGACGCAAAACCCTCGATTAAATAAAAAGGATTAGGGTTTAGGGTTTGGCAATTTAGGGTTTGAGATTTTAGAGCCTGCAGCTCCTTTAGGGTTTCGTCTTCAAGGGTCTGGAGGTTGGCTTGTTAACTTTTGGGGGTTTAGGGTTTAGGGTTTGTTGTACCGGCGGTGGGCGGGTCGGTGGCTATAGTAGTAGGGTTTAGGGTTTATGGTTTAGTGTGTATAAAATAAATTAAACATTTATTAATATTTTCTTCTTTTGCGGGTTTTTAATGCAAAAGTGTTTCTTTCCTCTTATTTCGGGTGTACGTACACCGTACTGCGTGTAGCTGCGGCCGGCTGCAGCAGCGATCCTTCTGTTTTTCTTGTCTACTTACTGTTTTTTATGGTAAGAATGAATATAAATAAATAAAATGAATAAAATTATAAATTAATTAATTAGGGTTTAGGGTTTATGCCTCTAGTAGAGGGGCACACAGGCCGGGTGCGGGGCTTGAAGCCTCGTTCAGGTGTATCGGCAGATCAGTGTTTATCCTTATGCAGATAAATAGAAGATTTTTTCCTTCTTTGTTTTTGCAGCAATATAATTAATTTAATATTCCCTTGTCTGCTTGCTGTGCTACGTGGGAGTTGATAAAAGCAGCAGCAGCAACAGCAGCAGCATCAGCTGTAGCAGCAGCAGCGCCAGCAGCAGCAGCAGCAGAATCCGCAGCATCCGCATCAAGTTCTCTAACAAGAACTGTGTATTCAAGGTTTCTGCTGCTTGGGTAACGGAGGAAGCAGCAGAAGTCAGTCTTGTTGTTGCGGGAAAAGCATCAACAGCAGCAGCAGCAACAGCAGCAGGAACAACAGCAGCAGCAGCAGGAACTGTTCTTACAGCAGCAGCAGCAGCAGCTCAGCTGCTTCTATGACTATTAGGGGTATTGCTGCTTCTCGCAGCACTCATGTGGCACCATTATCTGGCTTCTGTGTCCCTTAGGAAGCTGCAGCAGCAGCAGCAGATACAGCAACAGCAGCAAAGACAGCAGCAACAGAGGCTGTAATAGAAGGAAGAGCAGCAGGAGATCCTGTTGCTGCACATTGTGCACCTAAAGGGGTAGCAACAACAGCAGCAACAGCAACAGCAAGAGCAGCAACAGCAGGAACAGCAGCAACAGCAGGAGGAGGAGGAGGTGTGTGTGTGTGCGTGTGTGTGTAAAGATGTCGGATGCAGCAGCAGCAGCAGCAGCACTTGCTGCTGCAGAAGCAGCAGCAGCAGCAGCAAAAGCATCCTCATCATCAGCAGCAAACCATTTTTTATCTAATGGTTTTTCTCAGTTTGCTGCTTCTTCAGACCCTTCCCTTTCTCCATCAGCAGCAGCAGCAGCAGCAGCAGACCAAGACCAACAGCAGCAGCAACAGCAGCAGCAGCAGCAGCAGGAGCAGCAGCAGCAGCAGCCTCTCTCAGCAGCAACCCCATCAGAATATTTATCCTCGCTAGTGCCTCCCTCCCCTGCCCCTCTGTCTATCCCTAGTCCAACCCCTAACCCATCACCATCATCAGCAGCAGCAGCAGCTGCAGCAGCAGCAGCAGCAGCAGCAGGAGGAGGAGGAGGAGAGGATAGTTATTTATTAATGGATTATTATCAATTACGTATGTTATATAATTATTATTTATTAAATAAACAAATGCAAGAAAGTATATTTGAATGTTTTTATAGAAAAAGTCCTTTTTTAGGTAAATTCTGTATATTAGGGGGAATAAATAAATGTATTTTTTTTATAAATAAATTTAAATTTAATATACAACATTTATTTTTTATTAAATCTATATTACCTTATGCACAAGATCATTTCTTTCAATTTCTTCTTAATATTAATACCAATAATGTTACTCTTAGAGGTAATCTATTATTACCCTATTTATATATATATACCCTAAACCCTAAACCCTAAACCCTAAACCCTAAACCCTAATTTTGGCTTGTAAACCCTAATTTGAGATTTTAAATATTTATAAACACTTATATTTAATAATAATCATTAATGGAGATATAAATACTAATATTAATTAATTAATTAATTAATTATACATAAATAAATATATAAATAAGTGTATTTATGTATATATTTATATGCATGCAGCAATAAAAGATCCTTATAATCCTTATATATAAATAATTACTAATTAAATAAATAAATTAGTTAGATAGATAAATAGATAATAAAATAGAGAATAAGATAGGTAAATAAATAATTAAAATTAATTAACTAATTAATTAAATAAAAAATAAATAAAAAAATATATACATATATGTATGCATGCAGCAATAAGAGAAGGATCCTTAGTATTTCCTAAGGTTCCTGTCTTACAATTACGCGGACCTCTTGGTGTTTGTCAATTAGTTGAGACTTCTATACTTAATATTATTGGTTATGCTACTCTTGTTGCTACTAATGCTGCTAGGTATGCTCCTGCTGCTGCTGCTGCTGCTGCTGCTGCTGTTGATGGTGCTGCTGTTGATGGTGCTGCTGCTGATGGTGTTGTTGATTATTAGACTTCTATACTTAATATTATTGGTTATGCTACTCTTGTTGCTACTAATTCTGCTAGGTATGCTCCTGCTGCTGCTGCTGCTGCTGCTCTTGCTGCTTATGGTGCTGCTGCTGATGATGGTGCTGTTGTTTATGCTGCTGTTGCTGCTGCTGTTGCTGCGCTGCTGCAGACATCGACTTGCTGCAGGGTGGAAGAAGAAACTGCTTGAATTCGGGGCAAGAAGAGCTCAAGGTAACTTCTATTTGCTGCTGCTGCTGCTGCTGTTGTTGTTGCTGCTGCTGATGTTCCTGCAGCTGTAGCAAAACGTTACAATCGTGCTGCATTTGAGCCTCTAGGACCTAGGGTTTAGGGTTTAGGGTTTAGGGTTTGTATGCTGCAGGGCCTGATGGTGCGCTAACTGCGAGTCGCTATGCGTATCTTGGCAGCTTCGATGGCACCAGTAATGTACAGGTAAGGGTTTAGGGTTTAGGGTTTAGGGTTTAGGGTTTGCCTTTTAGGGTTTGTGATTGAAGGCTTATTGTTAGACTTTCCATGTTAGGGTTTGATGTCTAGTTTCCAGCTCATTTGCATGGATATCACAATTTAGGGTTAAGGGTTTAGGGTTTAGGGTTTAGGGTTTAGGGTTTGTGGTATAGGCTGCATATAGATTTGGCATACCATTGGCGGGTACAATGTCTCATGCATTTGTTTCTTCTTTTTCTTCTTTTGATGATCTTAAAAACACTAATTCTCCTCTAGGACCGGATTTCCCCAAAACTGTAAACCCTAAACCCTAAACCCTAAACCCTAAACCCTAATTCCCAAAAAGAAGACCTTAACGATAAACCCCAAAGGCTCCATCTCTCGCTGTTGCCCCATTCTTTCCCTAGCAGCAACTACTACTAGTACTAGTACTACTACTGCTCCTCCTCCTCCACTGCTGCTGCTGCTGTATTTGCTGCTGCTGCATTTGCTGCTGCTGCTGCTGCTGCTGCTGCTGCAGGTATTGGCAGCTCGTGACGAAGTATTTAATGTTTGGCCGGAGAATAATTTTCGTCAAATGGCAAAAGAAGACGAACTTGTTGCTTTTGTTGCATTCGCCTTGGTAAGAATGCATGCATGCATGCATGCATGCATGCTCGCATGCATTATTTATTTATTTATTTATTTATTTATTTATTTTGTTTTTTATTTTGTTTTCTCTCTTTTTCTGTTTGCTTAGGGTTTAGGGTTTAGGGTTTATGATTTTTTCTGTTGCTTGTGTTTGCTTGTTTTCCTGTCGTTGTTTCTTCTTATCCATACAAGTCTGTTCTTTTTAGCAAGGGTTTAGGGTTTAGGGTTTAGGGTTTGTTGCTTCTGTTTCCTACCTGCAGACCTTCCCGGACAATTTCTTGGCTCTTGTTGACACCTATAATACCCTTAGCTCCGGTAACTCTAAACCCTAAACCCTAAACCCTAAACCCTCAGTTTGCGTTGAGGGTTTACTTGACCATTGTTGTAAACCCTCAAACCCTCTCCATATTTATTCCTTTTAAGCCTTATATAAGGGACCCCCGTTGTCCTTCAGGTTTAGGGTTTAGGGTTTAGGGTTTAGGGTTTAGGGTTTTTGTGTCTGTAGGCGTTCCCAACTTTTTGGCGGTAGCATTGGCGTTATTTAAAATAGGGAGAAAGCCTCAGGGTTTACGTATTGACTCGGGGGATTTAGCTTACCTATCTAGGTAAACCCTAAACCCTAAACCCTAAAATGAATAGATAGAGTGTACACCTGAATTGTCTATGCAGTCTAACAAGAAGCATTGTCTCGTATTTCTCCTTTTTAGGGTTTGTTCTCCAAATACTAGGGTTTAGGGTTTAAGTGTATTTCTAGGGTTTAGGGTTTAGGGTTTAGGGTTTAGGGTTTAGGGTTTAGGGTTTAGGGTTTGTGGTATGCAGAGAAGCAAGACGTATGTTTAGAGAATGCGAGAAAGTGTTTGGCTACCCATTTGGGGGTTTAACGATTGTTGTATCTAATGATCTTAATGAGGCAGCTATTACTGCCCTTAATGATGAAGTATGTAAACCCTAAACCCTAAACCCTAAACCCTAAACCCTTAATTTAACCACACAGCTGATATAGGGGGAAAGGGCTGCCTAAAAGGCAAGTTCGGTAGGTCTTAGATCCAAAGTTCAACTTTAGGGTTTAGGGTTTGGAGATTAGGGTTTAGGGTTTAGGGTTTAGGGTTTGTTTGCAGGGACACGAAGCAGATGTGTTCGGCATCGGCACGAATGTTGTCACTTGCCAATCGCAACCTGCCCTTGGCATGGTAAGCTAAACCCTAAACCCTAAACCCTAAACCCTAGTGCATAGACCCTAAACCCTAAACCCTAGTGCTGAAACCCTAAACCCTAAACCCTCGATATTGGCGAGTTTGTACAGTATTTAGCTACAGAGAAGCGTATATGAGTTGTTATATGTGTTGTATGTTTACGTTCCTTGCATATACGGGTTATATATTAAAAGGGTTTAGGGTTTAGGGTTTTTAGGGTTTATGTTGGATAATTAATTCAGGTATATAAATTAGTTGAATTAGAGGGTAAACCCTGCATGAAATTATCCGAAGATGTAGAGAAAACTTCCCTACCTACAGCTAAATCTGCTTACCGTCTATATAATAAAGCAGGAGAACCTGCTGTTGATCTTATACAGGTACGACGAGGGTTTAGGGTTTAGGGTTTAGGGTTTAGGGTTTAGGGTTTATATGGGATTCTAGGATAGGGAATAACTAATAATATAACATAATGAGGGTTTATTCTTCAGCTCTTGTAACTATAAGCACGACTATCCAAAAAAAAAAAAAAAAAAAAAAAT